TCCACTCACCTCAGCCTCCCAAAGGCGCGGGATTACAGGCTGAACCACCGAGCCCGGCTAGCATCATAATCTTAAGTATTAATGGTTATATAATGTTCTGCTTTAAACAATTCACCTCTCGGATTTTTTCCTCTATTGAACTTTAAGTGCAGTCTAAATTCTTGCTATGAGAAATAATTCAGAAGTCAGTACGCTGTTTCAACATTTTAGATCATTTAAAAAAAATAAATTTCCAGGAAAAAAATCATTATTTCATTATTGCAAATACCTCTTCCTAGCTTTGAATTTTCACTTAATTCCTAACATTAATAACATTCATTTTCTCACAGTAAGTTTTATTGCTCTAATTTCTTTCTTTCTTTCTTTCTTTCTTTTTTTTAGTTGTTGTCTCACTCTTTCTCCCAGACTGGAGGGCAGTGGCATGGCCACCACAGCCTCGACCTGCTGGGCTCTGGCAATACTTCCACCTCAGCCTTCCAAGTAGCCAGAACTACAGTCGCGTGCTACCACACCCGGCTAATTTTTTATTTTTGTAGAGATGAGTGCTTACCAAGTTGCCTGGGTGCGTCTTGAACCCACGGGTTCAGGCAATCCACCCGCCTCGTCCTCCCAAAGTGCTGTGATTACAGGCTGAGCCACCGAGCTCGGCCTGTTCTAATTTCTTACACTGATTTTAAACAATAGTTTTCTTTCTTCAGAGACCATATAAGTATTTACCTATGTTGGCTTTGCATTTTTTAACTACTCAGGCAACCTATAACTGATTTTAATTTACAATGTAAGGAGTTAAATTTGTTCTGAACCACCTTGCCATTTAATCTAAAAAAGCAATTTGATTTATCAATAATTCATTAGAACTTCTTTACAAAACATATTTAAGGATTATTTGCCAATTTGATTTTAATGGTCTGTCTCTACCTTGAACATTACACACAAGACTAAAAGTTGTCAAATAAAAATAATACTTTGCACATATTTTTAATTTTGTATCTTATCACATTGCATTGAAGTTATTTATTTGTTTATTTGAGTTGGAGTCCCACTCTGTCACCCAGGCTGCAGTGCAGTGGCACGCTCACGGCCACCACAGTCTCGCACTG